AACACACACTAGAGTCTGGCTGGCTTGTCTTGGGCAGGTAACTACAGATGTGTGGATTTATGACTACAACAGGGACCACAAGTCATCCAACAGCTCTCACGTTCTTCCTGCTTCCTGCTCCGTGATGTTCCCTGAGTCTTGGTGGAGGAATTGATACTGATTTCTTGCTTGGGAATGATCACTTAGTCTTTTATTCTCAATACTTTGACCAGTAATGCATCCCTGCATTGGCTGTTAAACACTGCAAAGAGAACCATCTCTAACTGAGGCTGAGAACAGAATGGGACTATGAATATAAATATTTAAAGGGCATTTTGACATGATCGTTTAATTTCTACTGTACTGTAGAAATTCTTGTATATTTGAAAGAAACAACCCAAAGGAAAAATAAATAAATAAATAACGGAATACTTGCCAGAGCTGACTTTTTTTCTGTCATCCTGGAGCTAGGTTTCTAGTATTTTCTTTTTGCTTGACAAACTTCCTTCCCGGCACTTTATAGTAGAGGTCTGTGGGAACTAAATCCTTAGTTTTCTTTAAAGATATTTCTGAAGGAAATTTTTACTTGATTAAAAAACTCTGATCTAGAAACAGGCATATGAGTGATGTTTTCCCTTTTCCTACATTAATGTGGGCGTGTCCTTCGGCTCACAGTCCCTGGCTTCCATGCTCTCTGCTGGGAGGTCACGGTTTGAGTTGTTGGCCCTGCATCTTAGCTCTCCTGCTGCTTTCAAGATCTTGTCATGATGTCTGTGTTTCAGCAGTTGACCCTGTGCCTACCTTTGGTCTTTTTCATATTGATGCTTTGAAGAGTTGACTAAGCTTCCAGAATTCACTAGTTATGTGTTTTACCAGATTAAAAAAAAAACAAAAAAACAAAAAAAAAAAAAACATCCCAGCCTCATCTCTTCAAATATTTTTTTGAAGAGTCCATTCTCCCTCTCCTGATCTTCTGTTACTCAGTTATGTGCATAGTTATAGTTGCACAGATTTTTGAATCTTGTTATACGTGTGTGTGTATGTGTGTGTGTGTGTGTGTGTGTGTGTGTACGTATGTATGTTTCAGTGTTCTATCTGTAAGTTCCTAACATTTTCCTGATCATCCTGAATGAGGTAACCCAGAAGTAAAAAGACACGTGCTTATAAGCGGATATTAGCCATATGGTATAAAATAACTATACTAAGATCTACGGACCTAAAGAAGCTAAACAACAAGGAGGATTCTGGTGAGGATGCTTAAATCTCATTCAGAATGGCAAACAGGGTAGAAACCAGAAACAGTGGAAGAGTGGGAACAGGATGGGAGCCTACTATAGAGGGTCCTCTGAAAGGCTCCACCCAATAGGGGATAAAAGCAGATGCTGAGACTCACAGGCAAACTGTGGGCAGAAGTCAGGGAGTCTTATGGAAGAAGTGGAGGATAGGACACGGAGGGGACATGAGCTCCACAAGACCAACAAAGCTAAAAAATCTGAGCCGAGGAGTCCTGCAGAGACTGATGAACCAAACAAGGTCTATGCACGGAGAGGACCTAGACCCCCTGCTCAGATGTAGCCCTTAGGCAGCTCAGTCACCATGTGGGTTCCTGAGTAAGGAGAGCAGGAGCTGCCTTTGTCATGAACTCGTTGGTTTCCTGTTCTTTGATCACTTTTCCCTGGAAATGCAACCTTGCCAGGCCACAGAGGAAAAGGATCCAGGCAGTCCTGATGAGACTTGATAAACTAGGGGAAAATGGCAAGGGAGGTGAACTCCCCCTTTCAGTGGACTAGGGGAAAGGGATGGGGGGGAAAAGAGAGGGAAGGTGGAACCAGGGGGAGTTGAGGGAGGGGGCTACAATCGGGATATAAAAATGAATAAATTGTAAAAAAAAATAATAATAAAAATAAAAAAGCATTGCCAAAAAAAGCTTCAATATTCTATCTGCAAGTTCCTGACCGTTTCCTTTTATATCTGTTTGCTCTAAGTTCTGCCAGAGATGTTTTTTAAATTCAAGTATTATATACTTTTAGTTCTAGAATTACCATTTTTTTTTTTTTTTTAAGATTTAGAGGAAGGAGATCAATGAAAGGGAGGGGGAGAAGTAGGGGCAAGGCAGGGCAATGGAGGAATTAATGGATCAAAACACATATGAAAATGTTTAAATGAAACCACTTATTTTACACACAAAAAAATTAATTTTAAGAATCTATTTGAACTTGTGGGCTACTTCAATGCTTTACTTGCTTGGCTTTTTTCAATTGAGAGTTCGTTTTCCTGGTTCTCTAAACATCAGCTTGGATTCACATTAGATGTCATGATGGTTGTATTTGGGACACTCAGTTCTCATCCTTCAAAAAAACAAAACAACATTGTCTTAGCAGTCCTCTTGATGCATTGAAAAGACACAATTTCTCTTGGAGAGCAGTTCATATTTTAGCTTAGTTGTTTCCATCTTAGCTGGCTGCTCACAGTCTTGAATCTGGGTGAAACAGAGACGTGGACAGAAAGCCTCCTGTTGGCTCTCTTCTTCCTGCCGTCCTCCCTCACTTTTCTGCAGCTTTGGTTGCCCTGAACTTTGTTCTGTCTTTATCTTGCCAGGGACATTACTATCAGGTGTATGCCCCATGCAATGCCAGTTGCAACCTGCAGTCTGGGTAAACCTCATATAAATAACACCTTCACTCTCTGCAAATCAGTTCTTCCAAATTTCAGTGGTTTCTCTTTGTCACTACTTTCTTTCAGTCTCCTGGGTGTGAGAGAGGAGAAAAGGGAGAGGAAGGAAAGAGGGTGGGGGGGGAGAGAGAGAGGAGTTTGTAGGGTTAGTTCTGATAAGACATTGCTTACTTGTGCTGAATCAGAACTGCCAAAGGCATTTTCAGTTTGCTGTGTGTGGTTACTTTCTTTTCTGTTTCTCGAGTGTCTGCATGTGTGTGTGCCTAATATTTCTAGTTCATTACCCTGTGCGTCCTAAAAATTCATAAACAGTGGTGGTGGATGGCCTTCTTTCCTTTCTTTTCTTTCTTTCTTTCTTTCCTTCTTTCTTTCTTTCTTTCTTTCTTTCTTTCTTTCTTTCTTTCTTTCTTTCTTTCTTTCTCTCTCTCTCTCTCTTTCTTTCTTTCTGAGGTTAAGGATTGAATTTATGGCCTTGCGCACGCTTGGCAGTGCTCTACCACTGATCTAGACCTTCAGCCCTCTTTTCACTTTTTGTTTTGAGGCTAATACAATAAATAAAATGCTGCCAGGGTAGCTTCAAAACTGTGATCCTCCGGCCTCAGTGTCTGGAGGAACTGGAATTTGAGGCCTGTGCCATCAGCCCCAGCTGGGTGTCACTCTTACCAGTTTGTAGACTAGTGGGCTGATTACTTTAGCTATGATATTGGTTGTTGGTTTTATAGTCGTAAACATTAAAATTGTGCTAAAATCTATTATGGTTATATTCATAATAATTGTTATATCTATCAGACATTGATAGTATTGTTGCTATTACGTATTGTTGCTATACTACTTATTGTATGTTGAATCTGCCTTGGTGATACATGCTTGTCATCTCAGCACTGGAGAGGCTGAGGCAAGAGGATTGCAATATCAAGGCCAGCCTGGACCACATAGGAGACCCTTTCTCAAACATGCAAGCAAACAAACACTGAAGGAGTAACAAAAAAAAATCACATTCTTTCCCCTCCATTTTATTCCATTGGAAAATGAATTATGAAGCATATATATCTCTTAGCGAACTTAAAATCATATAACTTCATTTGAAGTATTAATTTGTATAGGGTCAATTAACATCTTATTTAGCATTCTATTCATCTTATTTTAAAAAATCCTAACAGCATGAGATTAGCATGTAGATTTTTTATATTATCTTTTCAGACTTTGATGTTAAGTCTATGCCAGATCTTTTAAACAACTGAAAACATTTTTGGTTTTTGCTTTTTTAAGTTAATTGACATGAGCTCTTTTTGGCTTTCTTTTTTATTTTTATTTTTTGGGGGGGCTGGTTCTTTGAAAAGGTCTTAACTGGTACATAATAATTACATTCAGCTATACATGTACATTTTGATGCATACATACAATATGTAATTATCAAGTCAGGATAATTAGTATATCCATCATGCAAACATTTACTTCTCTGAGTTGAGAAACATTCCAAGTTCTCTCAGCTAGTTATTTTGAAATGTGTAACTGTTGTCATCATCTTGCTGTGCTGTAGAACAATAGAGCTTAATCCTTCCTTTTTGTGGGTGCTGGGCAGGGAACCCGGGCCTGGCTCTTGCTAGGTACGCCTTCTGTATGGAGAATTATAGCTCTAATTCTTTTCTTTATGAAATAGATTATCTCTGTGTAGCCCAGTCTAGGCTCAAGATGCTCACACATCAACCCCCACAGTTCTGGGGTTGCATGTTTGCTGTCATGTCATGATTTGTGACATGTTTTAAACTTAGATATTTTTTTCTTTCCAGCTTCTTCTCTTTCTTTAGGATTTCTTTAGGTAAGTCTGTAGATTGCTCTGAACAGTATGTAGTTTTATTTGTTTATTTGTTGGTTTGGTTGGTTTTTTTGAGACAGTTTCTCTGTGTAGCCTTGGCTGACCAGGCTGGCCTTAAACTCACAGAGATCCACCCACCTCTGCCTCCTCAAGTGCGGGGAATACAAGGCGTGTGCCACAGCGCCTGGTCAGTATGTACAGTTTAACATTAATAATTCTTCTAAACCATGTACTAAGAATATTTCCCCTTTCTGGGATGTGTATGCACGTGTATGTGTTCTTTATTTTCTTCCATTTCCTTGATTAAATTGGCTAGGTATACACATATACCATAGTATAAACTGGGCCTGGTGGTACCTACCTATAATCCCAGCACTAAAGAGCTGGAGTGAGGAGGATCAAAACTAGCCCAAGGTCAGCCTGGAATCCATAAGAACCTCTTTGTGTGTGATTGAGGGGGGCAGGGAGAGGAAGGGTGATACAGATACAAAGATACAATTTCTAAGAGGTTTCCATTTTTCCTGTTTTTTAGTCAGAATATGCAATGCCGTTGAATTTTCTATCGTCTCGGCCTAGACACCTGTGTAAAATATCAGCGGAATGTCCAAAGTTGCCTCCTAAACCCTCCTATCAGTCCAATGCTGGTAAGGAAAAAGTCTTTCCTCCATTTACAGGTACACAAATTATATGTTTTATCCAAAGAGGTGAAAGTAATGATATCTAATCTACATTATAAAAGCAATAAAATATATGCCCAAGGAATGGCCCTATTTAGATGCGCAGTCATAATATGGCACTACTTTGTAACATCTATTACTACCACAAAAATAGTAAAGTCTGGGCTCCTTTGTCCTCTGCTTATATCAAGTCCATTTATAAACTATTTTATCAGCTCCAGTCTGGCACAGCTGGCCTCTAGCCAGAGCAGAACCTAAGGGCATCTGTTTGTGGCCAAGGACAAGAATTAACACTGTTTGCTTTCAGGGTCCTTGCTCCCAATATGCTTAACCCTGTTTCCACTTCCTGTCCTAACCACTGCTTAGAAATCAAAGTTTACACAAGACTGGTCAGATAGAATTCCCCCTAGGGAGCACAAAGATAGTAAAAACTCAATTAAAACATTTTTAATTACACTTATTTTTTTATGTTGTGTGTATGCATATATACAAGTACATGCATCCTACTTAGCACGTGTAGAAGTTAGAGGACAACAAGAGGGTCTTGATTTCCCCTTTTATCATGTATGTTCTGGGTATCATACTTAGGTCATCAGACTTGGCTAAAAGTGCTGTAAGGTGCCATCTTATATACCCAAACTTATTATTTCTCATTTACAAACCACAATAGAGACCTCCTCAGAACTCTTGTTTCTTTGTCTTAAATGGCTCAACAGAACCTCAATGTCACAGCACCACTTCAAAAGCCTTTCAAATTGACAATGCCTGTCATACAAGGAGTCTGTAGCCCAAACAGCCCAACAGAAACAAAATAGCTCAGAAGAACTCAGTGAGAGAAAACCAGTCACCAAATGGCTCAGAGAGCTCAATGAAGGCAAAGTGAAGGGTATTCAGATTGGGGAGAGACTCATTAAAGGCTAAACTTTCAAGTCCAAAACCAAGTTCCATTGTTTATTTCTCTACTTTGTCAAAGAGAAGTAAAGATCATCTGATGCTGGTTGAAATGGGAATATGTGGGGGAAAAAAATCCCTAGAAGAAAGTTATTCAAACAGCTACATGGAATCCTTTGATCTTTCCTCTCCATCTGTGGTTAACTTGCCACCAAAAATGCAGAAAATGAAGGTATATCCAGTGTGGACACATTGGAAAGAAAAACAAATAAAGAGGTCTGGTGACTCCTCCCCTCCCCTCCCAAAAATCCATCTTTGGAGTCTTCATATGAGATTTATTTTAAATGAATATGTTGTCATGATTCACAATACTATATATACACTTAAGATGTGATCATGTCATTGTATATAAATTATACCTCAATAAAGCAAAGTAACAAAGCCATTTACAAGGAAACAGTGTCTTCTAGATGCAGAAGGTGCAGCTGTACCTATGAATTCATAGTGTTTGTGACAGCATGCACAAGACCTGTGGAAGCCTAAGCCACACCAAATCCCAGCACAGAGATGGGGGTTGGACATGAAATCTTACCTCTAGCCAAGTAACTATTGGCAACTGATAGCTTCTGGGAGAAGAAGAACCAGTTTTCTCTAAGAGTATAGGTCCCTGGTAAGCCGACCGTAGCCCAGTGAACACCACACATTCAAGAATACCTGGGAAGCACTACCTTGTGCTTACAGTTTAGTTGAATGCAGAGCTTACCGAATGGTTGGTATAGCTAGCCAGCCTGCTCTGGGGATCCATCTCTACCTTCCAAGTGATGGAATTTCAGACAGGGTGTCTGAAACTACTGTCCTCAAGCTTGCATGTCTAGTGCTGAATATCTCCTAAATATCTCTCCAGCACCTCTGGATGCTATTTAAAGAGTCAATAATAATTGGATATATAACATAACTTCTCAAAGTGTGTACTCACCACTGACTGCTGAACACAGCCATCCGTGTTCACATTGACTTTCCTCAGCTGACAACTGAAACAAACCCATTTTGGATCAGTTTTGAAGCAGGCACAGCCCAGAATCGATTTTAGACCCTGTGGCGCCCATTTTCCAAACTTATGCTGAAGTCTAAAGACTTAGTACTAATGTCCTGCATGGTAGCCTGGGGTTATACAGTTGGGGGGAAGAGGTGGCCTTGGGTCAGAAGTCTCTGGATCCCAAGGCTCTCCGGAACAAAGACTGTCTTTGTTCCAGAACAGGCTTTGCCCTGCACTATGGAGGCTTGGCAGGGGATCCCAGGGACAGAATAAGTACCAGGTACTTCTAGGTAATGGCTGGGAAAGAATTACCCACTGAGCCCAAAGTTGATTGTGTCAGGCTGAGAGAAAGATGGCAGAAAAGAAGCAGTCCCCAGTTTTTATGTGGCCAAGAATGGCTTAGAAACAGCTCTTGGCCACCATGCAAGGGAGAGAGAGAAGAGAGGAAAGAGAGAGAGAAAGTAAGAGAACCAAAATGTCCAGACTACATGGTGAGGAGGAGGGGAAGCCCCTGCCCTGGAAAGTTCAGAGTAGAGAGTGGGTTTTGCCAGCATGATCAGTAGCAGACAGGGACTGAGGAATGCTGGGAGAACTTGAGCTGTTTGTCCCAGGCCTGAAGAACACCATTCCAGCCTTTGTTGATAATAAATGGATAATGGGCAAAGAATCCTTTCTGGGTACTTCCTGCTGACATTGGGGTGTTAATATAGAGGCCAAATGGCTAAAATAATGGCCAAGTCCAGGAAGAATAGACTTTTTTTGATACTGTCCAGGATCTGTGAGAGCATCCATGGCTGGGAGGGAAAGTACAGGTCCAGTTTGACACAGTCTTTGAGGTTAGACTAAAACACCTGTGGGTAGCTACTTTGGCACTGTCTTGGACATAGGAAATGCCTGGGTCTGGCAGGATACTGGCAATGGTAAGGACAGAGACAAAATTAAGTAGGTTAAGGAAAAAATTCCTTTAGGTATACATTTGAAACTTTTTGAGAGAGTGAGCAGAGAACAAAGGTTTTGGAGCAAAGAAGAGAAAAAAAACTTGAACATGGGAACCTTCATTTACCCAATTGCTGACAGTAATTAAAAAGGTCTTGTTTTGGATCTGTCATCTAAGAAATACTAAGGCCAAGTTTGGTTGCAGAGGTGTGTAAACTTAGACGTCTGTAACGCGGGCGCTAAGTGTAGGGATCTGACATTATCTAGGAGACTCCAGAGGAGAGCCTAGAGGTACAGTGGAAGATGTGATTCCAATGGGTGAAGAAAGAAAAAATCAGTTATGCCAGACTTTGGGGCGTCCCCACAAGTACAGGAGAACCAGAGATTTCATAGCGCAAGCAGACAGAGCAGGTTGTCATGAGCTGTGCCCGTGGAAGGCGCCAGAGAGATACTGCCTCACTTAGTACTAGGATTTTTGAGGAGAAAAGGAAGCTGGAAACTGTGTTGCTAGAAAAAGATTATTCACCCAAAGTAAGCTGTCTGTATGAGATTTGGCAAGAGAGACTAACTGTAGCCTTGAAGACTGTGATTCCGGGTGCCTCTGTTCCTCAGTGAACCAGAGAGCTGCCAGATGGTCAATGATTAGTCTCTTGGACAAAGGGGACCATTTACAGTTAACGCCAACCAGAAGGGAAGACTCACCAATCAGCTGGTGTTGGGTGCAGGAATGTATCGATTGGGTAGGCAGAAATGGGGAGTCCCAAAACCAGAGAAAGGGGGAAGGAGTCCCACCCTGAGATAGGCAATAGGTGGGAAATTTAGGCTGTTGATTGGCAGTGCTTATCTGGATTCCATTTGACTTGAGAGGTAGATTCAGGTGGATTTCCTGCAACTTACAAGAATCCCTTTTTAAGTCTACGTAGGGGATAAACTTTAGATGTTTATCCTAAACATGTTAGCATCAGCGCTGTAATATTCAGTGAAATATACATTATAGTAAAAGGCCGTAGACATACACCTTAACAACATAAACACTCTTTAAGTTGAGCTCTGGAAAGGCAGAAGCTTAGTTGAATTGCCTGCAAAACATAACACCACTGGGCTGGAGGTTCAAGTCTTCTTGGTTTCAGCACCAAGATAATATATTTTCTCCTTCAACAAAATAAACCAATTCAAGCTGAACAAAAAGTATAAAGGCAGGTTTATTGGAGCATCTCTTAAGTGGGTTTACCAGTCCCAAGAACAGAGCCAGGGGAATCGCCACGCAGAGATGGGGGAGGAGAGTGGGTAGGAGGTTCAGGGTAGAGGGCAGGATATGCCAGCCATACCCTCTAACAGAGACTGAGGGATTCTGGGAGAACCTGGAGGCCTGGTCCACTCTGATATGCACCTCAGCAGCTTGTCTGAGTCTGAAACCCACTAACCTATAATGATTCTTGAAGTGGTGTATTGTATTGTTAATTCTTTTGGACTGGATACATTTTGTATCGCTGGGGGTAGGCTTTGAAGTTTCTAAAGCCCACACCAATCCCAGGCTCTCATTGCTACCTGAGAAGCAGGATGTAACTCTACAGCTCCAAAGCTCTGCCTTTGTCTGCTTCCTGCCTTCATAATGGACTCTCTCTCTGAAATGCAAGCAAGCCTCTCACTCAGATGCTTTCTTTCATGAGCTGTCTTGGTTATGGTGTCTCTTCACAGTAATAGAACAGTAACTAAGCCAATTGTGTCTGGGATCACTTACAAGGCAATAAAATTCTGGAGTGACCACTAGATATACTTGGAAGACAAGATATGCCTTGAAGACTTCCTCATGTAAGGTGACATCTCTCTGCTATCTGACTTCTTTCCACACCAACAGTGTGTGACTACCCCAGGCTTCCTGATGGCTAATAGTGACTTGATAGAATAGAAATGTTTTAAAATTCTTAAATATCCTTTCGCTGGGCTGGAAATTAGCTCACTTGGTAAATAAAGCATTTGCCTAGCCTACATGAAGCTCTGGGTTCTGTCCCAGCATAAAATCAGGTATTCGATTGCATGTCTGTGATTCTAGCACTTGGAAGTAGAAGCAAAATGATCAGAAGGCCAGCCTCAATTATATAGGGAATGCAGGACTAGCCTTGGCCACATAAGACCCTGTATCAAAAGCATAAAAACAAACAAACAAACAAAAAAACCTTTTGTCCATGAAAACTCTCTAAGGCTACTTTTATGTTTACGCCGTTTTAGTTGAGTACTGAAGTCTTGATCTATTTTTCCTCCTTCTACCTTGTTCACTCAAGAGGAATGAATGGTAAAATGGCTCAGTGGTTAAGAGCAATTAGTGCTCTTGCAAAATTTGATTTTGATTCCCAGCACCTAAAACATACAGTTCATAACTACCTGTAACTCCAGCTCCAAAGGGATCTGACATCTCTAGCCTCCATGGGCACCTACACTCACATCACAGGAGCACACACACACACACACACACACACACACACACACACAAAGAAGCACCAACAAGCCACTATAGATTTGCCACTATAGCAGAAGTTTTATATGTTGTTTAAATCTGTAAGATATTTCATACAGACATTTTTCTAGATAGCACAGTACTTATGTATCTTATGAAAATCTATAATTGCAGATCAAAATGAAAGCAGAGCTAAGAAGTCCATGATGTCTACAGATGGCTCAGCAGATTCTATCAAAAAGGGGTAATTTATTTTTAAAATGTTAATATTTTATACTGTTAAATGACTACTCTGTAGAACAAGTTCTGCCTTGTATAATGCATAAAAATGATTCTTTTCCCTGCTAATTATTAACATTTACTCTCAGAATACCATCAAAGGAGGAGTTCCAGACTGGTCAGCTAGTGGGCGTCTCATCCTGAGTACAGTCAAATGAAGAGAGAGACCATAACAATGTTTTTATAGTAGGCACAAATCTAGTTATACTTCCACAGGGAGGTGAAAAAAAAAAGGCTTATTTATTTATTTTTGCATAACATCAAGATCCTTCTCACCAGCATCTCTGCATAATGGAGCAAAAATCCGACTTGTAACCTTGGAACAACTATGAATGTTGTTAGGTCTCGTTAGGCTTAAGTAACCCTTCTGCTTCTCTCCAAGACAGTATCTGCAGAGTATGCATGAGTAAGGGCCTTGATAAACTTTGGAAAGGAAATCTAGGCACCAGACGGGGGTCAGAGCCAGATCCCTGTGCTACTGTCAGGACTGGTGATCACACGGTTTTTTCCTGGGTGCTCTGTGGCTGCTAATTATCTGTGGCTCATGATCTCATGAGTCTGTCAGGGTCCACTCTCAGAACTCACCAATAGGACAGGCTTTCCGAGGCTCTCTCATCTCCTCCATCCTTGCCCTCTGTGAATGAGACTGTTTGCCTCACCTTTGCCAAATCTGTGCTGCAGGTTACCTCAAAAGCATGCCAGGACAAACCCATCTCCCACATAAATCAAAGGAGACTCAAGATGAAAAGTTTATTTTCTTGGTGCCTATGCACACTGTCACCTCCTCTTAACTGAAGTGGGATAAGGCCCCAGCAAAGACTGTGTCAGACACTCTCTACCCAAAGGGCTCAACTCAAGTCTCCACAACATGCTCCCCACTCAAAAACAACAGGTACCCAGGTAACTGTCTGGCTTCCACCTCTGCTCCTGCTGCTTCTCGCACAAAGCAGGCAGGAAAGGATGGCCTTGTCAGATTGGTTGATCTCTACTGAATCAGCAGGGTTGTTGGCAGTAACTTCTAGAGAGAGATAGGGAGAGAGATGATTAGCTGAAATCATCCCCTATAAACGGTTCCCTAAACTATGTACATTTTTTTTTTCAGGAGAAAATACCCTCCAGAGGTGAATGATTTAATTACAAAAGAAAGCAAGCCAACCAGAAACGATGAGCCAAGAATGCCTCGTCCAGTAAAACAGACCATCTTGTTTCCCCTGAGCTATGAACATATACTCAAAAACCCAAATGTCAAGACTATTGCCCCTGCTCCAGAAGTGACAGTACTTTATTCCATGGTAAGCTCTACTACTATTCAGGAAAAAAAAAAATACCACAACCCTCTGGGAAGATTAAAACGACAACGTGACTTGAAATCTGTCTTGTTAGGAATCAGCCAGATACAGCCTGCTCTGCTTCGTTGAGTCTATGCCACCATCTCAGGTCACAGTTAACAGCTTTGATGCTGGGGAGGAGGGACTCTTTCTAAGACCTCTATAGCCTCTACAATCCTAAATAGACTAATTTCACACACACACACACACACACACACACACACACACACACACACAAAATCCCTACCTTTCCATGGCAACTCCTTCTACAGACTAACATGGGTGACCGATTGATGTTGGTTTTTAAAAACTTTTATTTATGTTTCTTATATCTTTTTCTCCCTACTCCACTCCAGTCCCTTCCAACACCCCAACACCAGGTAGGAGATAAGAAAGGGTTAGTGGGAGGTGGTCGAAGTTCTTTCTTAGTTGCTTCTTGCTGGTTAGGGTCGTCGGGTTCCTTGGAGCCAGTCCAGTCCTTGTTTCAGGGGATCTCCAACTTCTCATTTCACAATAGCAACCAGGAGCAACAAGGGGGAAGCAGGAGCAGCCTTGTTCTTTCATCTCTGCACTGTCTGGGCTCTGGCATTTATTCTCTCTCCGGAGTCCTCAGATGTAAACCATCTACAGCTGGCACAGAGCTCCTCTCAGAGCCCGCATGAGGCAAATAGTCTGCTGCTGTGGACCATCTGAATCAGTCCCACATCCTACACCTGGGACCAAAATAAAACCATGTTTACATCCACAATACTGATTTGATTGGCAGCGTCTAAGTCCTATACCCTAATTCCAGGAAGGCTGGTGAAGATAGTGCCTATGTCTACCTAACAATACATAGACTTATAGTGGCTGTTCTCAACCTGTGGTTCTCGACTCCTTTGGGGTCACATATCAGCCTGCAATGTCTGGTATTTACATTATGATTCAAAAAAGTAGTAAAATTACAGTTATGAAGTAGCAACAAAATAATGGTACTGTTGGGGGTCACTACAGCATGAGGAACCGTATAGAAGGGTCCCGGGATTAGGAAAGTTGAGAACCAATGACTTTATAGGGTGGAAGATCCCTAGAGTGTTGGGTAAACCAAAACTAATGTGAAGGCCAAAATTAATGTGTGGCTAAGTTGGTAATATTTTTATCACCAAAAGGATAGTGAACTAGAGTTTTTTTGGGGGGTGTGGTTATTTTGGGGGGGATCACAGCCATTGGGATGCATCTCATGCTAAGAATGCTTGTGTACCATCAGTCTAATTTCTGATTTCATCCTTGGAAAGATCCACTCCTGACTTGCTGTCCAGGGCTCATTGAGCCTCACTGCCCTTAGTTCCTGCTCTGCTTCTGTCTTAGTTTGTTCTACCTAGAGACCTCGCAGCTGTAGCTAGCACAAGACACTGACTTGCTCATTGTCTGACGGGATCTCAAGCTGAGGAACAACCCGTGGCCCCACTCATCCAATCGAATGGAGCTCTAGGCCCAAGACAGAGCAAATGTCAGGGTTTTGTAGGGAAGGGAAAGCTCTGACTCAGCTGAGAGGTCCTCCTCCAGTGCATCTCTCTATCCAGATATCTTGTAATGGTACTTAACCAGTCCTTTGTGCCAGCACCTCCCCACCCCTTTCTCTCTGCCTATCTCTGGCCCCTCCTTGACTCCCTCATCTGCAGACTTTCCCCATGGCCAGGTAAAGAGGCAGAATGCCTCATCCCAATCATGACTGATGATGTGGTTTGAATGCCACTGTTCCCCAAATCCAGAAGCTGAAAAAAGAGCTAGTGTGATAGTCACAAGAAGAGAGGCACTTATGAGGTGAACACAACAGCTCTCAGGAATGGGATCAGTACTCATACAAAGGACTGCAGGGAATTGACTGGGCTGTTTTTGTCTTCATATCTTCAAGGATACCGAGACAGAGCCATCCTTGAGTTTGGGCTTCCCAGCTTCAAAGGCTGTAAGAATGAATTTCTAATTGTTTATTTTTTTTAACATAGCAATTATTGACTTAATATTTGCAAATCAAATACTGGTAATGTGCATATTTTTCTAGTTTCCATGTATTTAATTATTTATTTATTATTATTTTTTTTTTTACCTAGAGAAAGAATTAGGGATTGTGAAAATTAATTATGCAATTTTAGGGATAGTAATTTTAAAACTTTTATAAATTTTGCTATTGCTACACTAAAGCGTGTTATGTTTTTACGTCTATTACTTTGGCTACTTTATTCAAATATATATGAGACATTTTTGCCAAGTATTGTAGCAAATCCTAAGATACAATTGTAAACACTCAATAATAGACATAATTTAAGTTTTTCGAATTAGAATAGGCATACATGATCATTTGGGTTTATATTCACTAATGTCTCATATGATCTTTGACTCAACCCATTTTGGGGGGTTATCCTTTTTTTCCTAGAGCATGTACTTGGAAACACCCACACGGTGTTCCTTCTTACCAACTCTATCCTCTCCGTTCAGAATGCCCTTTGCATTTTTTTTTAAAAAAATGTACTTATTTCTGTATACCTCACCTTATTTCAGAAATAATTTAAGAAGGCCAAGGCTTCAAACTTTGTATCTAAGAAAGCTATTGGCTATTGAGAAGTATGTTGTAGAAAATCATCTATTTTAAATGTATTTGAATGTTATTATTGCTGATATCATGTACCGCTATATAGTAATTTACAAATTTATTTTCATGTTTAAGATGCATGTATAGCTTTGCCTCAATATGCTCATGAATTGGAGTTTTTTTTTCCTTTAATCTATAGGAAGAAAGCCACACGAATCCGATAATTTTTCACGACGCAGCATATGTAAAAACATGGTTTCTGAAAAAAAGGTTTACTCCCTTTCTGATGACAACTAAAAAAACGAATGTTGTTTTACAAAAAAATTGTGACAGGAGCAAAGCTCTACGTAATAATGAACCCACGGATGTTTTTAAACCTCAAAGATCTAAGCTTGTAGGACTGCAAAAACTGGCCCAAAAGAGTATAGGGAAGAAACAAAAGAGTAGAAGGAAGGAACAAAAGAAGAACCATGATAGTCTGGCTTCAGCAAAAAGATTTCTGAAAACACATTATGACTTGTCCCAGACAGTTCCTATCTTAACCAACATATCTGCTGGGTACTTTGATAAAGATGTTACTCAAAAAAAGACTGTTAAGTCAGACAGATTTGAAAGAACGTTTTCAAAAGCAAAACAAGCACCCAAACGCAATTTCACTGCCTTACCTATGAAATATGACTCTAAGCCTCTGAAAAACATTCTTGAAATATATAAACTAAACAACGTAACTCCAGTGGATAACTTGCTAACCTGGAAAGTGAATGAATCACAAGACTTATTCATGCAGAAATATTTAAAACCAGTAAGAACCGAGTTACAAGATCATGGAAGAAATTCTAACCCTGCTATTAATGTTCTGTTGGATGCAATATCCAGTCAGCAATCCAAGATCAATCAACACCATTAGCTAATGCAAAGACTAAATTAGGGAATTATCAAAAATAGTGATTCATTCATGACTTATCTTTTTGCTTGTGAGCCTAGCTTTTCCAGGCTGAGCCATCTCTGTAGCCCATTCATTGCTTATCTCAATTATACTCATCAGATATCCCAGTTGGCTGCAGCACATTCTTAGTCAGTACCGACAATGGCATAGATTGATGGGAAGGTTGTTGCCAGAAGCCAAGAAACATCAACAACTTTGTGTTATAATTGACTGTCAAGACAGATATACCATTAATTTACTGAATATGGAGTTCACTGTAGATCAGCATTTTAGAGAGTCATGGGAAAATAGTGTCACTTGAGCAATGTATGTGATTAAAAAGGCTTCAAGAAACCTGTTAGAGCTGTTTGGAATTTCATTGTGTTTTTCAAGCATTATTTTGAGTTCTTTCTGAGTTGTGGAATAACTTAAATGAGTAAGGTCAATAAGTGAGTTGATTGTGATATCAAATGGTGAATATTCTACAATACATTGTCCTACATTATTCTTTGACTGTTTCTTATTGACATAAACAGTATTAAGACTGAACTCTTCTTGAACTCAGTAAATTATTCCCAACTTCATTTGGGATGCATTTCTTTGGGATCCCACGTATTTTCGTATTTTTCACTTAAAAAGTGTCTTTAAAGACATGTGTCTAGGTATTCAACCTACAACATTTTTCTAGAATGCACAACACCCTTGGTTCAAGTCTCAGCACAGAAAAACAAAAGGTAGTGACACATTCCAAGATTAACCCACAAAATACTAACTTATACTTTTATTACATAGAATTTAATGTGAAGTTAGCTATCATTTGTCATTTCCAGTAAGTAAAAGAAAACACTGAGTAAGAAAATGATTTCTCAGTGTTAACTGGAACTCAAGGACAAGCAGGTTGAATTAGAAGCATCCACTTAAAGGAAGTTGGAGGCCAGAGGCTAAGCTGTGAACCAGGCAGGACAGGAACCTGAGCATCACCTGTGGTGGAGGCCATGCTAACAGCACCAAGACACTAAGCCACCTCTCTCACACCACGCACCACCCGTCTTTGCTCAGTGTCTCCATGCTGTCCATTTTCTTCACTTTCCAGTTGGCTATAAAGCAGGTATTTCCCCCAACTCCTGTGCTAGGTCAGAAGAGAAAACACAGACTCATTGGAAGCACCACAAGAAAACCAGGAAGCAGAAAACTTGCCTAGTAAGAGCATAAGCGACAGTGGTTCACTTCCCATTCTCAGCAGAGAAGAAGTGAGGGCCTTAGAGCAGCTAGGAATGAGGGTGTGACAGTACCTAAGTCTCAGTTTGCTCTGTTCCCACTCAAAATGGGGACAGCAGTGGTTTATGACAGGGTTATTCTCCAGATGACAACACTGCCTAGTACTGTAGCATTCAATAAAATTTTCTTTCTATCCCATTCCCCTTGCTAAACCGAACTACACTGTTCAGGCTGCAGACCCAGGAGGGGTGAGTAACTAGTTATTTCTGGTAGTTCCTATGGGTGTCTGTGAGCTTTATCCTTTAGGAAGACAATAAAAGCTGGCTACATAACTTCAGTCCTAGAGCTCTTACCCAGCAGGGATGAGGCCTATGTTCAATAGCAGTACTGAAAAGAAAAATGAAACTTGTGACATAAGGGCAAAACCATATCAGTTTTCGGTTGCTGTAAGAAAACACCATGGCCATCCTAACTTAACTTTCTAGTGCCATGATAAACACTTGTCCGAAAAGCATCTAAGGAAACAATGGGTTTATTTCAGCTTATAGCTGTAGTCCACCGTAAAGTGAACTTATGGCAGGAACTCAAGGAACTCAGTAACTGAAGGAACCTGGAGATAGGAACTGACACAGAGACCACAGAACAGAAGAACACTATTTATTGGCTTTCTCCTCATGGCTTACTCATCCTGTTTTCTTATACAAGCCAGGACCACCTTCCCAGGGATGGTACCATTCACCATGGGCTGGGCCCTTCCACATCAATCATTAATCAAGAAAGTGCCTCATAGACTATGGGCCGATCTAAAGGAGGCATTTTCTCAATTGAAGTTTCTCTTGCCCAGCGACCCTGGCTTGTATATAGCTGACAAACATATCTAACCAAGACAATGACCGAGAGCAACTTATGGAAACCTTTATTTAGCTCCACAGGGATAGTAGTCTGTCATGGCAGAAAGCCATGACAGCAAGTGGCAGGCATGGAGGCAGGAACAGGAAACTGAGAGCTCAGATCTTGAACCACCACAAACACTAAGCTGAGAGAACAAACTAGAAGCAGGCAAGGATTTTTACTCTCAGAACCTACCTCCAGGGACACACTTCCTCCCACAAAGCCACAGCACCCAACCTCCTCAATCAGAGCCACTGACTGGGACCAAGCATTCAAGTGTCCAAGACTAAAGGGGGCATTTTTCATTCAAACCACTACACCCATTTAATAAAAGTCTGGTCCAGAATACATCACAGATCTTATCAACAGCTCCATCCCTATGCCCAAAGAAAAAGGTACTAAATATAAAAATGACATTTTTGTGTGAATGTCGGTGACCTTTAATGACCTTTAATGGTTGCCCTTGATATGCTGTGGCAGGATGACCATGAGTTCAAGACCAGCCTGGGCTACAGACTAAGATCCTAGCACAAAAACAAATAAAAAATCTGAACATACATTTGCTCAAGAACTCTGTTAAAGCCTCTTCCTAGCTGGGAGAGCTGGGCCCAGGGAAGGCAGAACTTCTACTCTGTACCATTCCTTTCTGCTTTCATTTGAAATCTGCCACCCTTTAAATAAAGAGCTGCAGTGTGGGGGGGGGGGGCAAGCAACAAGGTCAAAGTCAGACTTGGATTTTATTCTCATTCTAAGATGTGAGCACGGTCTTCAAGGCCAGCCTGTATCGAAGGTGATGGTATGGCCCATACTGGTGAACCAGTGTGGCTGCTGTGGTCTGTGAAACACTCCCATGGGAAGCTGCACTTCCCATTATTTCTCCAGAAATAATCCTGATCTCATCGTATCCCAGGAGGTCTTGAAGGGACCACTAAGCCCATACAAACATTTTTCTAATCAATGGATTTGTTTGCTTATTTTATTTTTAATTTATTATTATTGTATGTGTACATGGATGTGTGTGTGCATGTGTATGAGTGCCTGCATGGTATGTACATCCTCTCGAGCATGTGTAGAGGTCAGAGGTCAACTTTGTGAAGTCAGTTATCTCTTTCCACTTTTACATGCATTCTGGCAGGAGAGGTCAGACTCAGGTAAGCAGGCTTGTGTGGCTGGTGCTTTTACTTGCTCAGCAAGTCCCTGCTTATTTCTTTTAATTAATCAAGGAAGAGACTGTTAGCCTCAGGCTTCCTCCATATTTTTAGTTTCTACATAACAAATTATAGGTTAGCTTATCTATAAATAAACCATAGACTAATTTGGGAATATATTGTGCCCAGGTTTCAGCTCATTATAAGCAGGCATTTTAAGCAATCCAAAGTACACAGTTTATGGCACCATACCCAAATTAGACAATGCTCCATATTATACCATGGCCCCCCAATGTTAGATGCCTCCTAGCTGTGGCCAGTCACGTGCGTTCTTTACTTCACTCCTGCCTTCAACCTATAAAAAAATCCACTACTCACAGTGCCAGATAAAATTGTTTGAGTGTGTTTTTGTTGTTGTTTTGGTTTGGCTTTGGGTGCTCCCAGATTCATGAGTCATTGTATGTTAAAAAAAAATGTTTCTAAATTCATTTTGTTGACACATTTTCTAACATTTCCACAGCACCAGCTAGCAGTGAGCAAGACTCTCAATTTATCTATCTACAGATCTGTGGTCACTAAGGACCATAACAAGGAGACCTTAGTTTGCCTAAACCACCTAAGAAGATAACATTCCATCTTCACACATCATGATCTTGGGTTGGCTTAATTAATATAATGATATGTTTTGAGTTTTCTGGATGCAAAACTTACACAATTGACCAACATAGCCTGAGGAAGATGAAGAAGACACAGAAGTGAAGCAACCTCTTAAAAATGGGAAGGGATTTTCCTGAGGATAGTAACCCTTGGGGTTGGGGAAAGTGATAAGGACAGCCCTGACTGGCCATGTATTAATTACTTGAGCACAGCTGTGACAAAACTATTTGAGAGAACAGTTTGAAGGGGGTAAATATTTATTTAAGCTTGTAGTTTTAGAGGACTCCATTCATGGTCACTTAGCCCCAGGCCACTAAGCCCCATCACAGCAGCAGGAGCGCACCGCAGAGGAACCAAAAGCAGGAGCTTGGGACAAGATAAAACCCAAGGATCCATCCTTGTGACCTAGTTTCTCCAAGTAGGCTTCATCTCATAAAGTTTCCACAGTCTCCTTCCCAAGATAGTGACATCAGCTAGGGATCAAATCTTTAAAACATGAACCTGTTGGGGACATTTTTTATTCAAGCCATAACAGACCATAAACAATGATTATTTTTAAAAAAAAAAAATGAAAATTTCCACATTTATCACACTCTTGTGGAAATATTCTGTTGTGGTAGCATTCATGGTCTTCTACCTGCCTCAGGCTTTTTCCCACTGAAGAGTCTAAAAGTTTGGTGATTGTAGCAATTAAGTCTTCTTCCTTCCTTTTTCCTTCCTTCCTTCCTTCCTTCCTTCCTTCCTTCCTTCCTTCCTTCTTCCTTCCTTCTCTCCTTCCTTTCTTCTTTCCTTACTTCTTTTCCTTCCTTCCATCTCTTCTTCCTTCCTTCCATTTCCTTTTCTTCCTTCCTTCCTTTGTCTCCCAACCCCCATCTTTTTCTTTTGCCACAACCTCATGTAGCTTAAGCTAGCCTGGAATTTGCTGTGCAGCTGAGGATGGCCCTGAACTCTTGATACTCCTGCCTCCCACGTCTCAAAGCTCTGGGATTACAGCCAAGTACCACCATGCCTTGCTTTATCCTATATTATTTGATTGGGGTGAAACTAATCTCATAGAAAACTAAAAGC